TCTAATTGGTCATGTCGATGTCAAGATGTATGAATATGGAAAAAAAATGGTTTTTGAGTCCCATAAATAATGCATCTTGCAATACATTATCTAGACAATATATTTTCAAGATTTTCATATGTCTATAGATCTACTTGATTTTAACTATTTTTGGAATTTAAAATTTTCTAATTAGATATGAAAATAGATTTTAAGATAATTCTAATAATTTTTTACAACAAAATTACATATTATGATAAAATTTGAAGGTGCGCCTTAATTGGTTTGTTTAAGGTTGCAACCTTATAAAAACCACACCTATATATATATATATTTCTTTTTTCTTTTTTCTTTTTTTTTGGGGCAGGTCCAATTGGGTCCTCCCAGACCTAGTATCGACCCGACCCGACATGTTGCCACCCCTAGTTTTAAACTCACCTTTTATATTTGAAGTCAAAAAAATTTTTTTTTTCTTGAAATACTCACAGTTGAGAAACTACTAATTTCAAAGCGCTCATTGTAAATAGGAAAAATTTTATATAAGGATGTAACCTTTTTTTTTTTTTTGAATCATATATAATATGTCGAACTACGAATGCACCTAAAAAATCCATCAAAATAGGTAGTTTTAATGTTGAAAAACCCTTTGATTGATCATCTCGACATCGAGATGTATGACCCTGAAAAATAAAAAGATTTTAAGTCTAAAAAATAGTGCATTTTACAATATATTATCTACACCGCCCATTTTCAAGATTTTCATATGTTTATAGATCTACTTGATTTTAACGTTTTTTGAAATTTAAAATTTTATAGTTAGATATAAAAATAGATTTTGAGATAATCCTAAAAACATTTTAGATCAAAATTATATATCATGATAAAATTTGAAGGTGCACCTTACCTCTACAGCTACATATGCATCCGTATGCCAACTATGCCGTTGTAGATAATGAAAGTTTTAGGGAATTATTAGTTATGAACCGGTTTGTTGCGAGGAATCAAAGCGGTCCTAAACTAATTATTTTGGACGGCTTTGATTCCTTATGAAGCTTGAAGGATAGATCAATTCTGAACAGCTCATTAAAAATATTGGTCTAGAGCTATTAGTAGCTGCTCACCAAAAGTCCACCGAGCGGGTCCGGAAATAATAGTTCCAACCTAGGGTAAAAATAAAAAGAAATAGTTTTGAAAGGGAAACGTTTATATGGAGCCGAGGCTCTAAACAATCAAATTAGAACCCGCCTAAAAAATTTCACTAAAAAAGGTTATTTTAATGCGAAAGTATCTCAAAGTGATCATCTCGACATCAAGATGCATGAACTTGAGAAAAAAATGGATTTCAAGTTTTGAAAATAGTATATTTTGTAACACATTTTTGGACCATTAATTTTCAAGATTTTCAAATTTTCATAGATATATCGATCTTCACTATTTTTAAAGCTTATAATTTTATAAATAAAGATGAAAATATATTTTAAGGCTATCACAATGATTTTCAGTATTGAAACGACATTTATTGATACTATTCGAAGGTAGTCTCTAATTTGGTTGTTTAGAGCCTAGACTCTATACAAACAACACATTTTTTTTAATTCTACCTATTTTTAAGTAAGAAATTTTTTATATAGAGTTGAGCTCTAAACAATCAAATTAGAGCCTACCTCAAAAATTTCATTAGAAGATGTTCTTTTGATGCCCAAATATCCTCAAATTGATCATCTCGACATCACTCACATGCATGGAAATGAGAAAAAAATGGATTTCAAGTTTTGAACATAGTACATATTGTAATGCATTTTTGGACTGTCAATTATCAAGATTTTCAAATGTTCATAGAATCACTCGATTTATACTATTTTTGAAATTTTAAATTTTATAACTAAAGATGAAAATATATTTTAAAGCAATCACAAAGATTTTCAATATTGAAACCACATTTCTTGACACTATTTGAAAGTGTACTTTACTTTGATTGTTTAGAGTCTCGGCTCTATACAAACTGCACTCCTTAAGTAATAATTAGAGATATTAGTATGATATTTCCCCCAACACCAAAAACCTCATATTTTAGCAGTAGAAAAGAAGAATATCACACACGTCTTGTGTATGAGATATAAAATACATCAAGTACCACTGTGCAGATGTACAGTGGAGATGAATCACAACTATAATGGTGGACTCTCAACCGTAAACCGCGGTCCATCTCATCTGCATATCGTGACAAATGACGGTCGATGTTCCCAGTGTGCATTGAAATTTGTAAGCCAAATATCATCTTCGGCATAGCTTTTTTTTTTCTCATGAGTTGGCTACATGAATCCTAAAGTGTTATTCTGCTGACTCATATTCTTTTTTAGCCTTATACTTAAACTAACTCGTAAAGATGAGTGAGGCCCTAAACAATCAAATTAAAGCGCAAAGGTTGTTTTGATGCTCAAAAATCTAATCATCTCAACCTCAAGAAGTACAAATATGAGAAAAAATGGATTTCCAATTTTGGAAATAAGGTGTACAAATATGAGAAAAAATGGATTTCCAATTTTGGAAATAGGGTGTCTTATAATGCATTTTTTACTCGATTTATACTATTTTTTAAGCTTTAAATTTTATAATTAGAGGTAAAATTTCATGCTATTATAAAGATTTTCAATACTAAAATAATTTTTTTTTGATAACATTTGAAGATGGAACTTATTTAATTGTTTAAAGCCTCAGCCTCATACAAACTGCACCCTTTATACTTTGTGATGGCATGGCCCTCAATGTCATTTCAAAGGAAATGGGGAAGAAATTTTCGCGCGGGTCATTGAAATTTTACGAAGACTACAAAACCTAGCGTCACTTTCTAAATAATCAGAATTTTAACGCTGGTCATTGAAAATTTTCGAAATTTCGTTTGGGCCGAAATTTAGAAAATTTCGCCTTTAAATAAAACGGACATAAAGTTTGAAATTTTCGGGCAATCTTTCGTTTGATTTCGGCCGTTTGAGCTTTACCGAAATTTGGGCTGTCACACTAGACACTAAAATTTCGGCTTACCGAAAGTTTTGGATTTCTGCGATACTTACTGAAATATTGGGAGGCGGCTCAGAAGAACCCTGTGGAATAGCCCGAGCACCAGAGAGATTCCTATTTCCATGTCAAGATGGCCTGTAAAGTGCATAAAGCTTGAGCGCAAGATAGCCCATGAATTATTTAACCAGAAAAAACCATTTAAAATTGCACAAACCAGCAAAACAATAGGCCCTTTAATGGCTGAATAGACAGAAAAGAAACAGAACTAGTGACCCATCTTCACTGAGATTCTGGTTTTTACTCTCCTATGTCTCACCAATAGAAATGGCCACTATGAAGCAGCAGGAAGTAAAACAACTTTGTTTCCTGATCTGGGTCGCTTTATGTACTGGAGTTCCTTCTGTTTTTTGCCATGAGAGAGGTGTGCTGGGTCTCTGTTTAGCTTTGCTTAATGGTTTGTCTTTGATAGTTTATGAACTGGGTTTTTTGTAAATTTCTCTTACAAAGTTTCTGTCTCTCTCGTGTAATTTATACTGAATATTTGTGACGGTTATGCTTAGTTTTGATAGTTTTATGTTCGGGTTTTCTGATATTTTTCGGTTCGATTCATGTTTCAAATTTAACTGAACACCATGGTGAGAGAAGGATAATTTTTTCATCTTTAGAGCAATAGAAGATGGGTTGCCGGTTCTACTTAAAACTTTTTTTGATTTCCAAGCCTGCTTCAGTTGAACGTCTATGGAAAAGATGGCATGTTTTTAACGAGGCCTCCAGCTCTTTCATTGAAACTTCAAGGTTTAATTTGAATTTTGGGGTCCTTGTTTTCAAGAAGATGTCTTTTTACATCCAGAGGCTATGTTTGTTCTATGTTTCTATAGATATTGGGATTCTGCAATTTTCATCGGCGCATAGTGTTTTTAAGCTGCCAATGCTAGTCTTGAGCTAAAATTGTCATAGACGTTTTACTGATCTCTCCGCAAGCTTCTCTTACTCTACTAATTACACAGTGAAAGCTGCTTATTTTGTTTTCTATTAGAACACCATTACATGATATTTTCATGAGATATTAGTTCTGTTTTGTTATTCAATATGAAAATGTTAAATTAACACCTTAAGATTGCAAATGGACAGACTTCATAAGCATTGACTGTGGTGGAACAAGAAACTACACGGATCCACAGACCGGATTCGCATGGGTTTCCGATACTAGTTTCACTAGATGGGGTAAAGTGGCTGAAATCAAGAGCTCAAATAAAACCAGAGAGCAATATCAGAGACTACGATATTTTCCAGCTGACAACAAGAAGTATTGTTATACCTTGAATACAGTTGAGAGGAAGCGATATATTGTGAGGGCAACATTTCTTTATGGAAATTTTGATAATGGTGATCCATACCCCAATTTCCAGTTATACTTGGATGCTACTAGGTGGTCCACTGTAAAAATCACTGATGCGTCGAGAATATATATTGACGAGATGATCATCAGGGCTCCTTCTAGTAAAATTGATGTGTGTGTTTGTGATGCATCGACTGGTTTTCCATTCATATCTACTCTTGAATTGAGGCCCTTGAATGTTTCGATGTATGCCACTGAGTATGAGGATGATTTTTTCCTCAGTGTTGCTGCAAGGGTAAACTTTGGTGCTGCTACCGTGGAGGCTATCAGGTTTGAATAACTTACAAATGTTGGTAGCCTTCCTTTGCTTTCAACCTTCAGAATGTATCTGATTTTGCTTGAGTAATGATATTCTTCTTATTTCCTTATTTTTCTTGGGGCTTTTATCCATTTTGGGTGGTTAAGCACATGAACATAGAAAAGTCTTGCCTAAAGGCCACAAACACTAAGCCAAGAGGCCAAGTTCTTACTTGGAGCTCCTGGGTTATGCATAAAGCATCAATTTCTACATTTTAATTTCCTTCGTCAAAATAGTATGCTTCCTAATCGACAGGCTTATTTTGTTTTCTTCAACAATACTATACATTAGCTTTGTCACTTGAGCAGCCATGCATTCGGAAAAAGAAATGTAACGTGATTATAAGTATAAGCAATTGAAAGTGCACACTTCTCTTCCTGGTTCCAAAGTTAACAACAATGTATAAACTTAATCTTATATATTCAACAGGTACCCAGATGACCCTTATGACCGAATTTGGGAATCAGATTTGAATAAGAGGCCTAATTTTCTAGTGGGAGCTGCTCCTGGTACAATGCGAATCAATACTTCAAAGACCATTGAGGCAAGCATACGCGAATTTCCACCAGTGAAAGTGATGCAAACTGCAGTTATTGGAACAAAAGGAATTCTCACTTATCGGTTAACCCTTGATGAATTCCCTGCTAATGCTCGAGCATATGCATACTTGGCTGAAATAGAAGATCTAGGTTACAATGAAACAAGGAAATTCACCATGAAACAACCTCACATACCTGAATACAACAATGCAGTGGTGAATATTGTGGAAAATGCCAATGGAAGTTATATTCTCTATGAACCGAGTTTCCAGAATGTGACACTGGAATTTGTTTTGTTGTTCTCATTTGAGAAGACTCCGGATTCTACTCGTGGGCCACTCATAAATGCAATTGAAATCAACAGATATGTCCAAATTATCCCAAAAACAAGCACTCAAGATGGTAATACAATTCATTATTTGTCAATCGTTGCTCATTTTACATCATAGTGATCTTTGGGTTTACCTCCTAATGCACAAGTTATGTACAATTCATTAAGCTTTTGTCTGTTCGAGCTTATGTAATGTGGAATCCATTTTGTTGGAACTGCATTGTTTTTCCTATATCTGTTTTGAAATTTGATTGGCTTGTATTGAAGCTGCTGCTTTGGATGCTCTGCGCTCAATTTCTATTGGTACTGATTGGATGAATGAAGGAGGGGATGCATGTGTTCCAGCTCACTGGTCATGGCTGGACTGCAACTCTGGCTCACCACCGAGAATTACAAAAATGTAATTTCTGCACCCCATAGTCTCAAAGATTACAATCTGCAGTGGAGACACAACAAATAGAGGGTCATGATAGTCCCATGTTTCTCTCAGTTGATCCACCGGCCAAAAAAACAAAAGTAGAAATACAAAAAAAAGAAAGAAGAAAAAAAAGAGAGAAACTCTGTAGCGTGAAATTGCTTCTCTAGACTGTAAGCATTGTGCATTGCATCTACATTAGTTTGACGAAAGATAATAATTATATTAATAGGTGCTTGCTTTTGAAGTGTGACAACATTTTAAAGCTGTACCCATTAATCATAAGGCAGAGGTTGTTGTAGTAGTAGTTCGAGCCTCGTTTTGCCCTCACTTTTTATGTTGGTGATTGTTAGCGAAATGGAATGCAAATCGAAAAAAAATTCAATTAACTTGTTTTTCAATTACTAACTAGTGGGGCATTTGTTTGACTTTTGACAGCTTTTTGTCTGGGAAGAATTTAAGTGGCGAAATGCCATCTGAAATTAAGCAAATGGATTTCCTGACCGAGTTGTAAGTAGAGTTAAGGAGTCATCTTTCTTGATGCATTTTTTTAAAAAGTAAGAGTACCATGAGTGATTGAGAGTTACAGTCCTGATTTTTATATATTTCAGGTGGTTGAATGGGAATTCATTGACTGGATCTATTCCAGGTTTGAGCAATCTTGTGAGTTTGACTGTTCTGTAAGTCTCTTGTAGATGTTAATATTTGTGATATTGAACTCTGTATGAGTTCTTAGATGGTGAGGTCTTCTGCTGTAATTAAGGCTGGTTCCTCTGTCTCGTGCAGGCATCTAGAGAACAATAAACTGAGTGGTCACTTGCCTTCTTTTCTGGGTGAATTACCCAATTTGAAAGAACTGTATGTGGTACTATGAATACAATTTTCAGTCATTTTCCTTGAAAATTTTGGATTATAGTTTTTTTATTGCTTTACCTGGTTCTTATTTAAATCTTTTTACTTTTACTTCATGTTATCGTTGTTGATTACTACCTAAAGTGATATCATGTATGGCAGGTATGTTCAAAATAACCTTTTAACTGGGGAGATACCTCCTGCTCTGTTAGCAGGAAAGTTGGCATTCTAGTAAGCACATGCTCTTCTCTCTTCTCCCTATTCTTTTTTCTATGTTAAATGCCATTTTGCATCCCTCTGTGTGTGTGTGTGTGTGTGCACACACTTGCTATGACTCCTGGAGCTATAGGTACTGCATATAGAGCTTTAAATTAAAAAGGAAACCATCTTTTTCCCTGTTCTTAGTAGCTAGCAAAATGCTTCTTCTGTTCAGCATTGATGGATCATATGTGATCTTTGGGTGGTTACTGATAATATTCTAATTTCTGTTACCATCTTCTCCTTTCTTAGCCATTACAAGATTCATCTAGTTATTACGAGCTGCTGGGCTTTCATTACTACAACCCCTTGATCAGGTTCACTGGGGACTAATCTCCAGTTTGATACAAAACAGTTGTACAGGACTTGTGATACAAGTTTGTTTCACCAAAAAGATGTATTGGCAAACTTTGACTACTTTGTTTCCATACTGATGACCGTTGGCAAAAAAAACCAGAACAACCTGCTGTACCTGATTTCATGTCCTTTAACAAGCACCAATAAAGAAATATCAAGACAGTGCCCATCAGCTTTTGGTTTCATTTGTTGGTTTAGGGTTATTTAATCTGTGGAATTTGGAAAATTCATTTATTTCCACGATCAGGGCTTGAACATCAATTTGCTGGAAATTCTCTACCAGAAAAATGGAAGCCCCTCTGCTTCCATATCCCCGAATTTTGGTATTTCAATGACCTCATGATGGTAGGCAAAATATATTAACTCGTAGGGAGAATCATTTTGATTAACATGTGTAGTAGTTCATGGGTGTAGATTTGCACGCATTGTGTGGAATTTCCATGTAGTGAGGCAATGAAATAAAATCAGTGAATGCATGAGGTTACTAACCTCTGAGATGCACCCAAAAATTTAATGTGAAGAACCAAGATCTTTCATTTTGAATTGATAACATATATAGGTGAATGAGAACAACTGGCTTAGCGATGGTGAGAGAGAACCTAAAACAATCTTATTTGTCAATAATTTGCACATTTTGTTGGTCCTCTCACTTTCCCATCCCATTGATGAATCTAAAGCGGCTCCTTGTTCATTGTCATTTCTTGTCTTTGTTTAGGTTATTTTACGATGATTCTACATTATTGTTAATGTTAGTTGTATCAATTTTAATAATTTAATCAAATTTTGGTTGAATGATGTGGGCCTACAGCTATGATGGTAATCCTGGACTGACTAGAGGGAGACGGCATGAGAAGAATTTCAAAATAATTATTGCCACTTCAGGAACTTTAATTGTCTGCATTATTCTTCTCCTTGGATTTGTATTATTACTGCATATTCATCAAAGAAGGTCTTCAAAGGATAGTAAGTAACGGAAAGAATATGTTCTACTCAATGTCACTAGTTCACATGACACTTCAAGCTTTTTGTTTGTCTTCTTTCTTTATGCTCTTCTGACTCATACCTTTACTATTATTAGGTAACTCAGCACGTATTACGTCAAAACCTTCTACTGCTTATTCCATTATAAGAGATGGGTCATTAGTGAGGGACGAAAGCTTGGAAATAGCTTGCTATTTCACACTTACAGAGTTGGAAGAGGCAACTGAACAGTTCTCCAGGAAAATTGGGCAAGGAAGTTTTGGCCCTGTCTATTATGGAAAAGTGAAAGATAGCAAAGAAGTTGCGGTCAAGATCTTGGCTGCTACCTCTACTCATGGAACCCAACAATTTGTGAATGAGGTCAGCTAATTTGCTATAGTTGTTGTTATGAAATGTAATGATATAGGAGTTTATATTGGTGCCCTAGATTATGCAAATGCTGATGATACTCAAGAACATGGATTGATTTTATGTGCTACCAACTGAAATAATATGAGGCCTAAAGTGTATTGAGGCACATTTCCTTATGTCACCTTTTTTTTTTAATAAGCCTCCTCCTCCTCCGCCTCCCGCTTCTCTATATGTGTGTGTGCACGTTTGTGTGTGTGTGTATCTGTGCGCGGGCATGTGTGTGCGTCCATGTGTGGTGTGTGGTGCGTGCATGCATGAGTGGCTCTGTATGTGTGTGTGTGTGCGTGTGTGTTTATGTGTTTTACTTAACCATGTAACCAAAGTACCTTTACTTTTGAGTTTCTATGATGAATTCTTTCCTCTTGAGCTGGGGGAAGTTGAAGCTGCCTCCCCCACCACATACCTTTTCATTCATTCACCTTTATCCCCTCTTCCCTTATTCCCCTTCATCCTCTTCCCTTCCGATCTTCCTAGTCTTGCTTTCCTCTTAATTATCATCATCATCATCATCATTAGAGCCATTCCCCACTATTTGGGATCGGCTACACAAATCCTGGTCCGCCATTTTGTTCTATCAAGGGTCATATCCTCAATGAGGCCATAAGTTTCCATATCTCACTACTTCCCACCATGTTCTCTTGGGCTACCCCTTGCTATTTTTGAGCCTTTTACTTGAACCGACTCGCACCTCCCAACAGGTGTGTACTTGCTTTCCTCTTAATGGGCTTATTTATTATCTCCAGTTTGATTAATGAAAAACCTTTATCCTTTGGTTGGTTTATTTATTATATTATTCAAAGAAAGCTAATTCTCCTTCCACTCCTCCACCCCTCTCTTGCTGCCTCCAATGCTTTGAGTAGTGTTTCTACAATAATTAGAATAATTGTCGCTTACAAGTTGTTCCCTTTGGTTACATGGTTTCAGGTCACACTCTTATCAAGAATTCATCATAGAAACTTGGTTCCCCTGATTGGGTATTGTGAAGAAGGCAACCAAAGAATTTTGGTTTATGAGTATATGCATAATGGAACTCTAAGGGATCACATACATGGTATGTCCTCATGGGCCTTCGGATTCATTTTCCCTTTTTTGCACTTTTGTATCTGAAAGCAATGAGTTCTAATGTGAGCTTGCAACATATTATGTTTCTCAGATCCTATTAAGCAGAAGAAATTGGACTGGATGTCGCGTTTATATATTGCGGAAGATGCAGCTAAAGGTAATGAAACTTTTTATGGATCATATCAAGTATCATTTATTTTCTCATATCAATGTTATTCAAGCATGGAATTGTTTTGCCTTGGTGTGTGGTATATTCAGGACTTGAGTATTTGCATGGTGGTTGCATCCCAAGCATAATCCATAGGGATGTGAAGACAAGTAATATTCTTTTAGATATTAAGATGAGAGCTAAAGTATCAGACTTTGGTTTATCTAGATGTACTGATGAAAATCGTACTCATATATCAAGTGCTGCAAGGGGAACTGTTGGGTACCTTGATCCTGAGTAAGTTTCTGGTTGACTACCTTGTCTTCATTTTGGTATTTTAACTATTCATACCTTTAATGATTCACTTTCTTTCAGGTATTATGGAAATCAACAATTGACAGAGAGAAGTGATGTTTATAGTTTTGGAATTGTACTCTTGGAGCTAATCTCTGGTAGAAAGCCTATCTCTGTTGAAGATTATGGCTCTGATTGGAACATTGTACATTGGGTAACTCTCTCTCTCATCCCATGCTTACAGTATCATCATGTTCTTCCAAACACGGTATCATTTACATGCTTTTGCATGTGCAGAGATATATGCATATATGTTTATCTTTGGAGATATATACATATATGTTTATCTTTGGCTATATGTCCATGTGAACTAGCATACTATATTACTTTTGTAGCATCTTTGTTTCTGATTATTAATTTGTTTTCCTTTTTTCTTTTCATTGACATGCAATTGGAGGAGGTCCATTGATCTGATATTTGTTTCTTATCGAGAACGGATGAGTGATTTGGAATGTTTGTACTCATATAGATCTGAGGCTTCTTTCTTCTGAACTTACTGAGAGCTATTCATTCTCTCACTAGATTAATGTTGAGAAAAAATAAATAATAATAAAGGGAACAAAACATACCATTGAACAATATGAAAGAAAAAGTAACATGAAGTAAAATGCGCCATAGAGCGATGGACATAGTGCCACTTGCAATGTTACTTCTCTCTGTTTATTTATTTACCATTTTGTTGCACATTCACATATATGGGGAAACCTTTCATCCGCACTTGGCAGACAGCTACATTTGTCCACCCCTCCCCTATTATGGGGCCTCAAGTGTATTTGTTTCGCCCCAAACTTGACACACATCCTCTTGGTGAGATGAAGAACCCCATGCAAAATATTATTTGAAATTGGTTCTCCATTTTATATGTGCTGCTCAGGACTCGATTTTGACTTTTTATTTATTTTTAATTCTTCATCAGGTGGAAATGAGGCAATCTACCAAATTTGGGGTTAAACAAATCCCCTAGGACCTCGATCTCACACGATTTATTCGTTCCTAAAATGGACGCCTTGTATTCTCCTAAAAAACATTTTCTGGTCTTTGCTTTTTTGAATTTTTTTTCAACAATCTTCTTAGGGGCAACCTAGAGGATATATGTGCCAAATTTGGGACAAAATAAATAACTCATAAGGTCCCGTAAATGGGGGATGCCGAATACTGTTCTGGTCTGCCCTTTGGTGGACAATCGACTATTTATAGCACTTTTTTTGGTTTTTATGGTATGCAAAGTTAGATTTACAAATAAAAAATGATATCTATAGAAATATCATATTTTGCAGGCAAGATCCAGGATCCGGAAAGGTGCTGTAAAGAGTATCATTGATCCCCAACTCGGGGACAATATCAAAATAGAGTCTGTTTGGAAAATGGCTGAAATTGCAATCCTTAGTGTCGAATCACACATGGTCTCTCGACCAACTATGCAGAGTGTTGTGTTGGCCATTCAGGATGCAATCAAAATAGAGAAAGAGAGCTTGGAGATAGCATCGTGGGATTCGTCAGTGGATCTCTCAAAAAGCATGGACATGCCATCAAGTTCCCTTGATGGTTATGATGGCTCTCATGAAGTTTTGGGCAAATATGATCTCCCAACTGCAAGATAAGTTGTAGCATCTTGGGCAACAACTTAGCTCACTTTTGTAATTCATGGTGTTTTGCAGTAGACAGATGAAAGATGTATTTACGTAGGTTTTTTTTTGGGTGAATAGTGTTAACACAGGTTTGATATTTTAACATACATGATTTCAGTTCCATGCAATAATGTTGTTCCGTAGAAGTGTTCATGATATTATGTATTTTTATACAAGGAGGTCATAATAAATATTGACCGTTAAATGTAGAACCATCCGAGAATCGGATGGTTGGGGATGTATATTGATTGGGCACAAAGTCCAAAAAAATATATCGAATATTGTGACATGTCAATCTGATGAATTTCACATCTAATAACTAAAAGTGATTGTGATCTTTTTGCATTTATTTTTTCAAATCAGAAGAAGAATAGGTTTGTTTTTTGTTTAGTTATGCATGTTCTTTTATGGATGACTGGGTTTAAAGAATTATATTCATCCGTCAAATGTGGCATACCAAGCTAGGATGTTACGACCAGTGTTTTGAAACCTATATCTATGGGGCAGATCATTCACCCACAAATCCATGTCGGATCATTAGATTAGCTATCCGGAGCGGTTCTAGAACAGTTGGAATTGGTGATAAAAAAAAAAGTAAAAATAAATAAAGTAAAATAAAGATAAAAATAAAGGTTTATGGGGCAGAGGGATCTAGAAAAAACATTAGACAAGCTTATAAAAAGAGAAAAATGTACATATAAGATAGGGTCTTTTAGGGGAACCGGGCTGAGACGAATACAATCCCGTACTAGTTCCGACCAATTTCCATCCCAATCAATGTCTAGATTTGAAATCGCTGAGTTTAAAAACGTTGTTTATGACTCTTAAATAAGTGGATAAGAAGATGGAAATGTTGTTCCTAGTGATTCTTCTGCCCACATTAAGGGAAAGCTAAGCTTATTAAAAATTGAACACTTAGTGATTAGTGGCAATTGTGGCTTGATGAAGAGAGAGGGAGGAACACAGGTTTCGATGCGAAAAGCTGGTGACTAAAATGATGCGTTTAAAGATGATAACAAGTCAAAAGAATTGTCCTATAGAGAATACCAACCTCGCCTGGCCTTACAATTGGAGGAAACTCAGCTGACAAAAACTTATTTGGAGACTTAAGACTAAACCAAATGCTTGATCAAATTATGGATATTATAAGGCTTTAAGAGAAATATTGTTTTACAAAGAATAATATGGAAAAGATAGTGCTCAGGCTAATCAATTTTACGAGTCCTTTTTTTTGCCATTTTCATTTTTAAGTATTTTAATGGTAAATGATCTCTTACTTATGGTAGGAATAGAACTAAAAGACGTTGTGGTTGTGGTTGTGGTTGCGGTTGCGGTTGCGGTTGCGGTTGCGGTTGCGGTTGCGGTGTGGTACCCTACATTGGGAGCCTATGTATTGAAAAAGCCAATAATATTGGGATATGCACCTGAAAAAACAAAAAGATTTCATACACTCCACAATAGGATACTAAATATTTACTCCCTTAAGTGAAGGGTGCAGTTAGCATACGGATGCATTCGTAGCTGTAGAGGTAAGATGCACTTTCAAATTTTATCATGGTATATAATTTTGATGTAAAATGTTCTTAAGATTATCTCAAAATCTATTTTTATATCTAATTATAAAATTTTAAATTTCAAAAATGTTAAAATCAAGTAGATCTATAAACATATGAAAATCTTGAAAATTGACGGTATAGATAATATATTGTAAAATGCACTATTTTTTAGACTTAAAATATTTTTATTTTTTATGGCCATACATGTTCCATGTCGATATGATAAATCAAAGAATTTTCCAACATTAAAACTACCTTTTTCCAATTGATTTTTGAAGTGCATCCTAGTTCTACATTATAAGGTTGCATCCTTATATAAACTTTTTCTAAGTAAACTAGGAGTAATTTAAAGACCCTAGAATTTGGGGATGCACACTCTCCAACCATAGATTAACTTTAATCCAAATTGTACTCTCCGCACACTTGAAAAAATAATCTGTTAATGTTGATTTCCATGTAGTTTTTAAAACTTCACATGGAAAAAATAAAATAAAAAAATTACCAACTAGGTCATCCGTCCGTAGGAGTAGTTGTATAATAGAAGCTCCTGCGGGAGCATAATGTAGACGCCAGAAAAGCGCATGTCACAGAAATTTGATGCAAAGTCTCCCCTTGCAACTGTTGTATTCTCTCTCTCAAATTGCCGTGTTCTTTCTCTCTCTGCTGTTAATGCCAGTAAAAAAGCAGTATTATCTCTCTCTAAACTGCTGTATTCTTTCTCTCTCTGCTGCTAATGCGAGTAAAAAACCAGCATCTTCGTGCTAATTGATGTTGGGAATTGAGCTAACTACTTCCCATTTCCTAACAATAACATGTTCACAGCTTAGTTCTTCAAGCGTAATTCACCATGGCTTTCATGGCCTTACCCCATTCCTCAGCTCCTACAATTCAACCCCAACGCACCAAGTCCAGGGAAAACCAGGCTCTCTCTCTCCTCAAATCCACAGAGAATCGAACTTTCTCTCTCCTCAGGTCCATAGAAAATCACACTTTCTCTCTCCTCCAATCCTGCACCACCCTCGACCAATTGTACCAGCTCCACGCCCACATCCTCAAAAATGGCATTCACCACTCTAACTTTGTCATAACCAAGTTTCTCTCTCTAAGTTTTGAATTGGGGTGTTCGGAACTCGCACGCCAAGTCTTTGATGACGTGCCGAAATCTAACACTTTCTGCTATAATGCCATGATCAAAGGACTGGTTCAAACCAATTCTCACCACGAAGCCATTTGGGTCTTCATGAAAATGCTCAATAATGGTGTTCCACCCAATAATTATACGTTTCCCTTCATTTTGAAGGCTTGCTTTCATCTCCATGCCATCGAAGAGGGCCGAGCCATTCATTCATTGGTTTTTCGCTCTGGTTTCCCCTCTGATGTGTATGTACAAACTGCTTTAATAGACTTCTATGTTTCCTGTGGGCTTATGGATAATGCATGTCAAGTGTTTGATAATATGTCTCAAAGAGACGTGGTCTCATGGAACATAATGCTATGTGGCCATGTTAAGCATGGTGATATGTTTCATGCTCATAAGATATTTGATGAAATGCCCCAAAGAAGTTTAGCTTCTTGGACCGCTATAATTGGTGGCTATGTCCAAAATGGGAATTCTTTTGAAGCTCTCTCATTGTTTCAATCCATGCAATTGGATGGCATGATACCCGATAACATGATGCTTGTTACCATGTTATCTGCATGTGCATCATTACGATCACTAGAGATGGGCAAGTGGGTCCATGACTACATGGACAAAAATGGTTTTGTGATTGATGTTTTCGCAGGGACTGCACTCATTGACATGTACGCAAAGTGTGGGAGCATCGAGGATGCGAGAACTGTGTTCAACGTCATTCCTGAGAGAAGTGTCTCTTGCTATAATGCAATGATCTCGGGTTTAGCCATACATGGTCTTGGAAATGAGGCCGTTAGAGTCTTTAGTGAGATGGAGAGTAAGGGAATTGAGGTTGATGATATTACCTTAATCGCCATCTTGAGCGCCTGCAGTCATTCAGGAATGGTTGAGGAGGGGTGCCGTCACTTCAATTCAATGAAAGAAGTTCATGGTATTGAACCCAAGATGGAGCACTATGGATGCATGGTTGATCTTTTGGGTCGAGCTGGTCTGTTCAATGAAGCGGTTAAGTTAGTTAAGAGCATGCCATTCAAGGCTGATTCTGTAGTTTTAGGGACTTTGGCATCTGCTTGTCAATTACATGGAAATGTGGAGCTTGGGGAGAACGTGATGATGGAGCTAAGTGACTTGGATCCATTAAATGGTGGGGTTTTCGTATTGAAGTCGAACATATATGCAGCTGGTGGGAGGTGGGAAGAAGCGGCTAGAGTGAGGAAATTGATGAAACAGAGAGGTATTCAGAAGAAGCCAGGGTGTAGTTCAATTGAGGTGAACAATGCGCTTCATGAGTTCACAGCAGGCGATGACTCTCACCCGAGATCAGAAGAGATATATGCTAAGTTGGCTGAATTGTATAAACAGATAAAGTCACTAGAGGAATTGCAACATTTTGCTCTGGATGGTTGCTAGATACTGTTTTTTTCTTTTTCTTTTTTCTTTCTTTTTTGCCCCCTCCCCCTCCCCCTCCCCCGGGGAAGAGTGATGATTAGTAATAGTGTTTGAGAGGAAAATGAAATCTAAATCAGTGCCCAATGTATTCTTCCCTTTGTGGGGGTATGTAAAACCATATATATCCAGGGTGTAAATTCTGGATGATCCTACACACCAGATGTGAAGATGAGAATGTACATTATGCTAGGGAAGGATACACCATGGAAAGGAAAGAAATGCCCTTGCATGTTCTGATACAAATGATTTTTTTTTTCTTTTTCTTCTCTTTTTTTGAAACATTAACATCTATTTCTATTTCCTTGCAAAACTGATGTATCGAGTGTCATCCATAAGAAAATTAGAAAGGGCCAAGTCACATTCAATGAGGCTTTATCGACTCCTTTGGCTAGCAGCTCAGCTTCCAGGTCCGTTGCTCCGCAAAATCAACATGCTACATTGTCTAAAGAACTGATACTGTTTTGGATTTCATCAAAAATCTCTACCACGGGCAATCACCTTTCGTTGCAGGCAGTAAATAGTGTTACTTGAGTCTCCCTCGATTATTTGCCTTCGATGGTTGTCCTGGAGTTGGCCTAATCCCTGGAGCAATAATCTGGTCTTTGCTTCATCTGCGGAGATGGTAGGGAGTGGGCCTAAAAATATCGATATGCATCTATTTGTTGTTGTCCCCAAGGAGACCCCCTTTTCCTGCCAGTCACGGGCAACTTGTTGAATTGCCATCCATTTATTCAGTCTATCTGTTGGGAAAGGCCTGAAGTAGTTATTCACTAAGAAGTGAGATGAAAAATCGGCTGTATCATATCCTCAGAAATCCTCTCCAAACTTCAGCCATGATAGGATATTTGCCTTCACATTGGTCTGAGCATTGAGTGTAAAAAAGCCATGCTCTTCCTCTCCGGCCTAATGCAAATAACATTTATTTTATGCAGGATTTTAGAAGTCGCTGATCTAGATTGGGAATCGCCGATTAAGATTAGATTTAGTGTCTTAGTTGTCTGATTTCCCACCTAAAAATCTACCCTATTCTCTTTAAAACCTATTATTCCTTTTTTTGTTTTTTTAAATTTCAGCTGGATAACTGATTTGGCCAATTTAGATCACGAGATTCAGCCGGTAACAATTAATATTGACCATTGGATTTAAATTGAATGTTTATATTTATTCCATTGACCAAGCTCAATTTTCAAAAGAGCTCTTTTCGAACTTTGTGACACATCCACACTATTAGATTTTACATCGGATGGTTATAAATAATTGTGACCTCTTTGTATCAAAGGTCTTATTATATACAATTTTTATATATAAATACTCAGAAAATCTTGAAAACAAAATACACTGTGAAAAGGTTGTAGACTCAAACTCTTTCCTTGCTGGAGAAAGGAAGCGTACAATATGCTCTTGTGGGAGCACAATATATATACCCATGGCCAGAAAACTTAAATTACACAACGAGCTTTCGGAAAAATATCGACGGAAAAATATCGACGGAAAAATACGGATTGTTCTTCGGGTTCGGCGATGTATTACGAAATTTCGAGAAGTGGCGGAAACCTTTTAAACTTAGGCCTCAGCCATGAATGAATCTCGAGAGCTTTGACGGTTAGGGTTTGTTAGTGTGTTTTGAATCCCTTTTTACATGTATGAAAAAGAAACCTAGCCATGGAGGTGAAGGAAAGTGATACTCTGGCTATGGTTTCAGAGCTTAATTTGGCGGTGGACCAAGCTGAACATGTCGACCAAGTTATATGCGCTCTTCATTCACTTGCCGTGTTGCTTTTCCATGTCGATTCCTCGTTATTGTCTGGTACAATTCGTTTCTCCTTCTCCATATCCGAGTTGAAGCGTTTTTTTGAATATTTTCTCCATGGATTTTAGGGGTAATTCATTGCAGAAAACAATGAACTTTCGAAATTGTGTGTTATTCTCATTAAACCTAGCAGTAAAAGAGAAAAATCGAAGAGAATGTCACCTGTCAATCAACGATGCCTTACTTTTGCTAGCATATAGTTTTTAATGTTATCGATCAATGGGGAAGTTTGCTTTTATGGTTTCTGGATTGTTATTATTTTTAGTTTCGAGTTTATTCAGTTATTAATTTAGGATTGATGTCTTCTGCTTCTTCTTCTTTTTGGGTAATTATCTTTTGCTTCTTACATTTGAATAAAAAATCGCTTTTCCATAAAATTAGCTTTTTTTATCAAATAAAATTTTGAATAAATGACTTCTTTGGTCTAATTTTATTAGAATCTAATTCTGAATTATGGGTTTATTTTTAGTGATCAGAATGGTCATGATGAGTTTATTTTAACTGGCAGGGAGTCTCGGCGATGCCTGCAAAAAGAAGGTTGGTGGTTTTGCCCTGTTCTTTTTTTCTCTAACTTATAAGTGACAACCACCTCATAAAACAAATTGAAAACATGACGAGAGAATCAGAGAAGCAAAACTTAAGTAGATTTTACCTTTTATAAGTTGGCATATAGTATCTAATCTACAATGGGCTTTTGTTCAGGTCATTGAAACGAGGGTTCCTACAGATGCTGAAAGAGAAGTGTGGAGGCGAGTTTTCTATCAGGGAGCTGGATTTGCAACGCTCACAAAGATTTTACTATATAGTAAGTTTTCTTGTTTAATGACTAGTTTTACCATATTACTAAGTATGCATGTTTTTGTAATTCTGTTTCCTCTCTACTGGAGATTTCCCCAAAACAAAGTTGAATCACTATCATTGTGAACTGAACTGATGGTGGTATACTAGTATATTTTAGTTCACTGCCACAATAGAGAAGTTAAATTGATAACTATATTAACGTGAATGACATTCGCTCCATGTACATAATAGTAACAAAGAATTTGTTATGTTAATGCATCTCATCTATTGTCCTTTGTGAAGCAAGAATTCTAGAAATGGTTTACATTTTTCAGATTGATCTTTTACGAAAGCTATAAAAGAAAATCTCAAGACGGTCACGGTGGAAAGTTTGAACCAATGTTATTATTATCTTTTTTGTTCTTTTTTATGAAGAATAATATAGAAAAAAATATATAGGGTGCATTAAGTGTTACGTTTATGTGATTAATGCCCATGTTTGAGACTATGACATCTCAAATAGCAGTGAAATTAGGCCTTTTTGTCAGCATCACTTATACAGGAGCAGATCTTGTGTCTATGTAGTTCTACATTTTGGGAATTCCTTGGGTGCTCATTCCTTTTTTCATTATGTATTTGCAGAGGTTGCTTCCAATTGGTTGGCTTGTTTCCCAATATCTGCTCGTGTACAGATATATGACTCTTTCTTTGTTAATGGACCTTCTACTGAAGTTGTTCAGGCCCTAGTGCCTTCTTTAGTGCACAACAGCAAATCATTTGATCATGAAGATGATCTCAATGCTGTATGTGATAATGTAGAGAGGTACGCATTTGATTCAAAATGTCCTGTTGGTTTCCTCTTCTCTTTTTTCTGTAATATTTTTGTTGGTTTTTCTTTTTCCTCTGTCATTGAATGTGCACGGAACGTTATTGCTTTAGCGGATTAAGGTTTTTCGCCAAAACGAGATTTTAATGGTCATTCTTTCATTGATTTGTCTACACTTTATAATAGTCCATGTATAATTATATATTTTATCCATGATAATTCTATGATTTTCTTTTTATGTGATGCAAATTTAATATTTAAGTTTATACAGGGAAAGAGCATCTCAATATATACAAATTGATGAGAAAAATGAAAGTTAATAATGTAGTACCCTCATTTCTTATTGGATTCCTAAAAAACAACATTTATAATGAATTTTAATCATTTTTTCAGATTTTTTTGAAGCTTTAATTTGACCGATTCAGTCGATTCCCTATCCGAATCACCGATTCACCGATCCGGATCGGTTTTTGAGGTGCCCGATTCGGGTCACCGATCCACTTTTTAAACTATTGGTTAGGACATTCATATGTTACAATAGATGTAGACTATATTCAGCTTTTATTATTTTGTATCTGTAAGGGTTATTGTCCGGTTTTTGGAAACCAGATTTGTGGGGGAAGTGGGAGTTATTTGGGGCAGCTTGAAGTTATCAAAACTTAAAATGAAAATTGTCTAAGAAATGTCAAAATCGCAGTGCATGTCATGGTCAGGGCCATCACTTGGAGAGGAATATGTCTTCTAGGTGTTGAGCACATCACATTCGCTGGTTTAGAACCTATAGATTAGAAGTAAGTTTTTATTTTAACTTTCGGGTCTGATCTTCCAAACCAATGTCGAAGTACTAATGGCTTCTTGTCTCAGCGTCTTGGTCGCATCTTTCATGAAACTCAATCAAGCATTCCTGCATATCTGCAGAATTTCAAATATTGTATAGTTATTAATTTCTAATTTCTGTAGAGTTTAGATCTGTGTGACCTATGTGTTTGTTAATTTTCTATCACACTTTTATTTTTCTTCTTTCTTTAGCGCATACATTCCAGGTAGTGTTAACAGGATCGAACTAGTTACCGAACCAGTGAGGGTTTTCAGGTCTATTCCAACCGGTCCAATTGCCAATCAAATAGGTTGGACAATATTTTGATAATATAAAAAAAAGTATGAATAACGTTTGTACAATTTTGTATCATATTGTTTTTTACTAGTTTCGACCAATCCCGGTTTTTATTTTTGACCAAACTTGCCAGGGCACTGGTTGGACTGGCCGGTTCGGCCCACTGAATTTAATGATAAAAAGTTCTTGTCCACTTCTTATTGGTGGTGATTTGACATAATTTTGCTAAGAGAATGATATAGACTCAGTTCCTGCCACATGCCAGGATCTTGGTACTATGTTTGTTACAAAATCAAGGAGCATGGAGCATTGCTAAAGAATTTTCTAATACTGATGAAGATACCAGTGAATGGATCAAGTCAGATTTTATATCGAGGATGGCACAGCTGATTACTTCAATTCCTGACAAGGCTAGACTGGAAGCCTCGGCGTCACTTTCTGCACAGTATCCTTAAATTCTTGCCCTATATATTTGTAGTTGAATTAGCTCCCTTCTGATGATTAGTACTGAAAGCATTTTTGTGCTGCTCAGTTTCATTCGTCATGAGAGTTCAGTATGTACAAATGTTCTCAAACACTAGGTACTTTAAAACAATCTCTAGGCCTGGCTCCAATCAGAGTTTATCTCACACAGAGGAGGGATGTACACATTTTTTATGACCTAAAAGATGTTTTCTCTTTCAATTACATAGCCATGATGACTGATAAATTCTACCTCTACCCTTTTATCCCTCAATGTTTCGAGATTCCATAGAGTCCAAGACCCTGGATTTGCCTTTAGTTTCAAGAGCCATGAATTCACTATCTTTCCAAATCTACAAATGGTTTCCTTACGCACATCCTCTCTCTTTGACTCTTGGACAAGGATAAATATCCACCAAGAAGGGCCTGATGAGAGCTCTCAAGTGGATTTTTATATTGGAAACTAGAGGTCCTGTGATGTTACACTCTATTTAATTGTTCTTATAGATGCCGGTCCCTGATTTCATTTCTATTGAAGAAATATAGAGTCTCACTCTCCTGACTGGACCTTTTAATCACAAATACTTTCTATTCTCTTTCATTTCTTGTTGGATTTTCACCATGTTAAGCACTGTGAGATGCATTTATCTTGCTCACAATGTTCCCCAAGTGCTTGAGTATCAACTGTTACTCAAACACTCCACCACCTCAACCCTTCTTTTCTGTATCGTCGATAAAAATTTATCCTTGACAATGGATTATCAGTACATTCTTCAAGCAAATTATTATGCAAATTCTTGATGGGGCAGAACAAAGAGAATTTCTATTCCACCATGATATTGATGCTTTAGATACAGAGATGTCAGATGGAACTCTCTTGTTTACTGGTGAAACATTTGCACGCATTTGCAGGCGTGGATTTGCAGGTACGTTTCAAAGTCAGCAGACCTGAAAGTTCTCTGTTAAGAGTGTGGGCTTGTTGTTATACTTTAGCCAACTTTTATCTTTTATGTTGATCAGGCATTAAAAGTTAATACACAGGTAGAAGGGGCTGCATACAAGAAAATGAATTTCAAGATTACTATAAGCTACCGGCATTAATTTTACAATTTTAAATATATCCAGTCCTTAAATTTGTATAAAAAATCTTAAGCATGCATTATTTTGTGGATCTAAGCTTGATGTTCTTACTTCACAGGTATATTGGTGTCAGAAGTGATCCCTCGAATTGTTAAACATGTACGGAGGCTCCTAACATCAACTGTTGATTCAGTTGACCTTTCTGAACTAATTAACTCAAATTCAAAGTTGACATTCTGGCAAAGGATGATTGAAGCCATAAAGGACCCATATGCAGTGGAAAGATTGTCGGAGGACTTATTGCGCCAGCTATCAGCAAAGGATGTGAATGACATTGAAGCTTATTGGACTCTTTGGATATTGTTTTATAGGACATCCAATCGTCGGAACACCACAAGGTAAGCATAACTTGATATGGAGGATTAGATATCTACCATTCTTATTAGGACCATTATAAAGTACTTCGTGTTCTGTTAGAATGATTGGAAGGTTCATGATGTTGTACTCTGATGAATGGAGGAAACAAGCTGTTAATTTTAAAGGATATACTATAATATTCAACTGTGTTTTATTTAAGTAATAATGTTGACAAATATGTTCAAGTTGTTTTCTAACCAGGCATCACAGCAAAGGGTCTGGATGCGTATTTATTGAATGCACTAAACAAATTGTTCTTCATCTCTATTCTTTCAATTCAATGTCATTTTTAAAGCAATAACAGTTAACAAGCAGGCAGCCATTCTGGTCTATTTAAGAATTTGCAACTTCTTTTATCTCCCAGGTTTATTGATGTGGCACTTTTTCCTTCTGTTTTCTGATTCAGGACTATGCTTGTTGAAAAGTTTTTGCTTTGGAAGGTGTTCCCTATCCGATGCCTGAGATGGATTCTTCGGTTTTCTGTTCTCAAATTTCCACCAAATGGAGCCATGTCCACAGAAGGAAGTGTAACTCAAGGTCGTATTGACGTTGTAAAGCGTCTAGTGGGGGTATGGTCCAAAAGAGAGTTCATTCAATTAGCTTCGATGTCTCAGCAAGCATGTATCCTTTTTATGTCCGGGAAAGTATACCCTAATCCTTTGGTGAGCCATAGTCCATGGGGTCATCACTGTCCAAAGAAATGATCGATGGAGATTGGCACTTGCCAATTGGGTCATTCCCTGTTGTGCTGGGTACCACTTCTCTCCATCACATTCATTATTTTCATTGGAAGGCATTTACCACAATGTGTTCTGGTTTTCCATAGATATTTGGATTATTGGATTACAGTACAGTTTATTATGTCCTTTGCCTTCTCATGCCAACAGCTTCTCAAATGAAATTGCTCCCTACATGCAAATTCAGATATTACTGCAGCTGTAGGCCTCTTGTTGGAGAACATGTCGAAAGAAGAACTTGAAACCGCGGGAGATTTAATGCATTGTCTTCTTCAAGGAGTTAGCTGTTGAGTTCTTTAGGCCTTCACTAAGTGCCATTTCTGCTGTTCAACAGCTGTTGCAGGCTATTATACTTCCATGATTAATGTTCTGTTATTGTTTATCAGGTAGATTGGAGAGCCCTCTCCATCTAGTTCGGAAAATGGCTAGTTCTATTGCTCTCGTTTTCTCCAGAGTAGTTGATCCAAAAAATCCCCTGCTCCTTGATGATGATTGTAGTGAGGTAACTCTTAATTGGGATTTCAGTGAGGGAAAGAAAGAAGTGGTTGCCACCTCTGTCCTATCAGAGAAGAAAATGAAGACTGATGATAGAACATCCATTAATAGTGAAGATGTGAAGGTTAAAAACTCCATTGTGGGGGGAAATGGCAAGTTATTGGTGAACAATTTGGTGGATCCTGATGAAGTTATTGACCCAGCATTTCTAAATGATGAACATGGGTCTGATGACGATGATGATGATAACTCAAGCAACAATTCTGAAGCCTCTAATGATTCGTCTCTGCAGCCTTATGACATGTCAGATGACGATACTGACTTGAAAAAAGGATTCTCTCAGCTTGGTGACCTAGTTACCGCACTACGGAAGTCTGATGACCCTGATGGTGTATGTTATTACTTCCATTTATCATGAAATGAATTTTCATTTTTCATTGTATATTTTAGATGATGACTTTTCTGTTTACTCTCTTTGTGTTGTTAGTCCCTCACTCTTTTTTATAAATGTCTCCTATGCATGAGATTTTTTAACAGGTAGAGAGGGCGCTTAATGTTGCTGAAAATCTTCTAAGGTCAGGCCCAGATGAACTCCAGCATGTTTCAGGGGAACTTGTTAGGGCACTTGTGCAGCTTCGATGTTCTGATGTGACTCTTGAAGGGGAGGAAGAATCTGCCGAAGAAAAGAGGCAAAAAGCACTTGTTGCAATGGTGGTCTCATGTCCATTCAAATCTTTGGATGCCCTATCCAAATTATTATACTCACCTAATGTTGATGTGAGCCAGAGGATCATGATCCTTGATGTCATGGCAGATGCAGCAAATGAACTTTGCAATTCCAGAGATGTAACCAACTTAAAGCATCAGAGAGGGAAGCTTATATCTTCTGTTACATCTGAAGTTCAGCCATGGTATAGGCCTAGTAGTAGAAAAGGGCCTCTTGGAGCGGGTTCTTGGAAGGAGGTCTCAGAGAGAGAATCGGCGTTAAGTTGGTCTCACCGCTATGAAAGAGAGCTTCCTTCTAAAGTTGGGGATATAAATATAGGAAAATCTCGAAGATGGGGTGGCCAGGCTTCAATAAAACAAGAAACCCAAATTGGAATTCCAAAAAATAAATTTCCAATGTACGCAGCTGCTTTCATGCTCCCTGTTATGCAAGGATATGACAAGAAACGACATGGGGTCGACTTGTTGGGTCAGGATTTTGTGGTTCTTGGAAAGCTTATCTATATGCTTGGTGTTTGTATGAGATGCACGGCCATGCATCCTGAAGCTTCTGCATTAGCTCCTGCCCTCCTTGACATGCTCAGTTCCAGGTAAAGTTTGAAGCAGCATGTAGCCATGTAGAAGCGAATGTGCAGTGGGATTTCGATGCTTCCTTTCAATTCACTGCATTAGTGCCTGACACATATCTGATGCTTTAATGCTAAAACATTTTAAGGTTCTTATTGGAAAATAATTTTAGATACCAATAATCTACAGAGGTTTATGTAATTGTATTTGGCCTCTTTTGGATGTGTTAGTAGTCATATCTAAGAAATTGCCTTGCTTACCTTTTTGAACAATCCTGAAAAGTGGTAGTCTTAAGTGGTCAGTCATATAAAGATGTTCATTTTTTATGGAAGAGGAAAACAAGTTTATTTACCAGTGTTAGGCATTTCGGTGGTGTTTTTGGAACAAGCAAGGTTCCAAATTATAGGTGGATGAAAAAATTATACTATAGACAAAATTTGGTGCGTCAAAACAGGGCAGTATTTCCTAACTTTTAGGAAATATGCAATCTCTTGAGTGAACACTATCAAGAAGGAGAAAAAGGAAATGGATTTCATTAGGAGAGACTTCAATAAATGTCAGCCATCCATTTTGAATCTAGGTCTTTTGTTAGACCATTCACCTGGTGATGATGAGACACATACAAAATTTGGGGTTGAACAAACCACCCTATTGCCTTTGTTCTAACACCATTTTCTCTTTCTGGCAGTGTACCATTTTCTCTTTTTGGCAGTGTACGACTTACATTTACTGCATTTTCTCCATCCCTTAGAAAAAGCATTTTTTGGGAGCTTTTTCTCGATCTTTTGCATGAGAGCTTGTCCACCGGGATGAATATGGGTCATTGATAGAATTTGGGATCAAACAAACCACCTTACATTTTGTTTTTTTGTTTTTTTGACTTATGGATCATCTCCATCATCCACGGTACGTCACCAACGGTGGAGATTGTGGTCCGCATTTCTTGGGGGGTTCGATCTCATAAGATCATTATGAATATGTAGTGCATGATAAAGCTATTTAGTGATCTATTATCTGATAGACAGAAATTTTATGATTACTTATTGGCTATGGTATGCATTCAGGGAAGTTTCAAGACATGCGGAAGCATATGTCAGAAGATCTGCTCTTTTTGCTGCTTCGTGCATACTGGTTACCCTTCACCCCTCATATGTTGCATCTGCTTTAGCTGAAGGGAATCCTGATGTATCTAAAGGGCTTGATTGGATACGCACATGGGCTCTTCATATAGCTGAAACTGACCCAGATACCGAGTGTGCATCTGTAAGAATCTTTATATGTAACCTGCAAAGATATTCTTTGTTTGATTTAGCATTGTTATTTTACAAATTACACATTATCATGGAAAGTATTTACACCTTGTTTCAAGGCACATCTTATTTCAGTCTCCACACTATATAGGGATGTTCAGGATGAATATGCGCATCAACCATGGTGCTATAGATCATATAATTATGGAGCTATTAGACTTGAGATCATCAAATCAGAATGTTAGGAATAACTGACTTTTTTGTTTTGGGAGAAAAAAATTGAATATGCTATGTCAATTTTATCTGATTTCATTTCTTTGGCTTGGGGGACAGGTTCCTGTCGACAAGAGGAAGAAAGGCTTTAAATAGTAAAATCTGAATAGTAATCAGTCATGGAAGAAATCCATTTAGTGAACGTTAAAAGAAGTATAGAACCATCTTGGATGAGTGGTTCAGAATGAGAAATTCCTACTTATGGTGGGTGTGATTATCTAACCATCGCTTTTTGAGGAAGGAATGAGAGATTCATTGGCATTTGCCATGATTGACACCGAGAAGTTTATTTCAAGTCAGATTCATTACAAGTTAGATTCATGGCTAGGCTAGTTCTCCAGGAATAACTTTGGCATTCAGAAGCCCAAATGTCTGCGACCGTTCAAGCAGTTGTTATTGACCATTTATCCTACTTTCATAAGGGGGGGGCACACAATCAAGTGTCTTCCATGATCTTTACAGCCTGATCTCAGGAAATTTACAACAGTGGGCTGCACCTGCACCTTTAATTGGATTTTGTTTTTTACTCATTTAGCATGGCATAGATGGAGTTTAAGTTCTCTTTTTTATATAAAAGCTTTGAATCTTGTCCTGAATAACCTTTCGGGTTTTTCATCCAGGGAATCAAAACCTGGATAGAGTTAATACCCTGAATCTAGAGTTAATTCTGGGGACGGGGCTGTATAAACTTCATGCATGTTTTCTTCTTCTAAGTTCCGATAATCTCTCTCTCTCTCTCTCTCTCTCTCTCTCTCATATGCAGTTTGTTCTCTCTCTGTCATCTTCGTATGTCGTTTTGCTGATAATATGATAGGGTTGGTTTGCAGTTGGCCATGACTTGCCTTCAACTTCACTCTGAAATGGCTCTTCAAACATTTAGATCAATGGAAATCAAGGGCAAAGGTGATGACTGCATAGGTACCAGTTCATTGAAGAAGGCAACCATTATTGTGCCTCGCTCCAATACTCGGGCATTTCCCTAGCAAAAATATAGTATAATGTGATGCAGACCAAGGAGTGTAACATGCGTGTGAGTCAGTGGGTATCAAAAACTTGAAAGGCGCAAGGAAATCGAGTGGCAGGATCCAAAACCTGAAAGGCACATGGAAACCAAGTGGCGGAATCATTTCCCTCGCAGTGTCGTGCATTACCGACTGACCTTGATCTTCTAATAAGGGTTCGAATGGGAGCATGCCTTTTGGTATTAGTAGACTTGGGGCCGATTTATAAGAAATGTCATACTATATGTCATAATTTATCATATGTTCATAGTTTTGTTTTGGAAATTTTTTTCTGATTCAAAATTTTGGTCGGTAGAGGTATACGGATTCTCTTGACCACAAGTGTGCATATATAAGGATCTAGATTCAAGTTCTCAATCTCAATCTATATATATATATATATATATGGTTATGTTAGGACCCTTATTAGAGTGATGACACTATAAGACCCTTCTACACCCATGTGAGTAGGACTTTAAAGGATCACAATTAAATTTAGACACAAATCTCTAGAAAAGTTATCACATGTAGGACTTAGGTGAATGGGTTTATTGATAATTTTTTTAGACATCTGTGTCAAAATTTAATGGTGATCCTTTGGGGTCCAATTCACATGAGTGTGGAAGGGTCTCATAGTATCATAACTCATATATATTATATGTATGTATATGATAAGGTGCTCATGCTATAAAGCAATGGTTTAAAAAACGGATCGGTGACTCGGATCGGGCTTCCAAAAAATCGATCCGGATCGGTGAATCGGCGATCCGGATCGGGAATCGGGTGAATCGGTTAGAAT